AATTGGGAGAATAAATGTATGGACTAATATTTGAGACTTATTTTGGTGTAAACAACTCGTGTTTGATTAATTCCCACAATTACAAGTTGTTAAATTGAAAGACTAAATGTGTGGATAAATATTTTAGACTTATTTTGGTGTAGTTAGTTCTCGTTTAATTATTTTACACCATTACAAGTTGTTAAATTAAGAGAATAAATGTGTCGACAAATATTTGATACTTATTTAGGTGTAAGAACTCGTGTTTGACCAACTTCCACTATTGCAAGTTATTAAAATAATGAAATAAATATACTGGTATCATTGGATATTTGATTTAATTGTGAAACTTTCTAACAAAATGTTAACTGCTGGCTTCGAACCCTCAATCAACAATTCCGCAGACACAGTATAAATTCCACAAAACCACAGAAGATATTCGTCTGTTGCCTGAATTGTTTTTGTAATATAGGGAACGCGGCCATCGACACTTTAACAAAACTTACCTTGACTTGGGTCTTGTGTTTGTCTCTTGTCACAATCTGGAAACTGTTGAAGAAATTGCGCGTCGTCCAGTTTAAGACGCAAGTTATTTTATTATTTATTCATTCAGTTTTGTAAGGTTTATTTTTTTTGCGACATTCTTTGTTTACTTGTTTACGGTTTGAGAGATTTCAGTTTATTTGATTTACGTTTTTACGGTAGCTCTGAGCGGGACTCGAACCCACTGTTTTTTCAAGCTAATTTTGTTTTATTTTGATGGCACGCTTGTGTACCACGCCACGACGTTGGTCGTTAAGTGGTGTTCATTTTTCTAACTACTCCAGTGTTCCGATAAGTTGAACGGAAAAGCCAAAACGATTGATGGTTTCTGATTGCTTCAGTTCTGGTGAGTGTGTATCTAGTGTGACTCGAACCCATGTCGTTTGTATTGGGCGTTTTTTTATTTCCCATGTTGGCTACGCCGTAATATGCAACCACTTCTCCGTTTTATTGTGATTTTGAGAGTGTTTAATGATGTCTTCCTCACCCGTCACGCCATGACCCAGTTTCAACCACACGGCCATTTTGGAACACAGTGCGTGACCCTCGGCGTGACCTGACTGACTATATGAGCGTTCTGTTCAACTGTTAAGCTAGGATTTATTACCGTTATTATCATTATATTGTCACGTGATTTGTTTTACTTTATGTGTAATGTCTTAAGTATCTTTATTGTAATTTGTATATACCAATTCGTATATACCGAGGAAACGCCGCCGATTGAAGGTCATGTATTTTGTGACGTCACCAATTCGTGTGTAGGTACGGCTTCTAGATCCGTGCCTATTTTTATTATTGACATAAATCCTAATATTGTAAAAAAAATGTTTAACATTTTCCAGGGTAACTATGTTTTCCCCATGTATCTCCCAGGATGTATAATTATTGTACATGTGCAATAACAGGCTCAGTAGTACAAAATTTGAACTCTGCTTGAACTGCCTTAAGGTAGAAGCCTACTCATAAATGAAAATACATATAATCTATTCATTTTGCAATAAACTGTATGCTGAGGCAACACAAGGATATTGACTTAAAAAAAGTTGGGGGTCACCAGCCTTATTTTTGAGAAATTGATGGTTGTATTTTAGTGGAAAGTCGCCATTTTGACACGTTTCTCAAAAAGCTTAACTGTAACACACAAAATAATGCTATTTCATTGTACCATGGGACATTAGCTTCATGATTGTACATAATAAACTAATGAACATAGTCATGCGATTTATGACCAATTTTGTCCAAAAAAATGACTAGGCTTCTACCTTAATGTACACTAAATATCAAATCCTGATGATGATTAATGCTTTCATAATTAATAATTAATTGATAATGCTGTTGATGTTGCTTAGATACAATGCTGATACTTGTCTATAGTTCTTGTGTTATCATCTCAGTTAAACAGAATTGTACATGCCATCACATTAAAGGTGATGTTAAATTTTTCTGTTAACCAGTGTGTTTTATATGTATTGTATATATCACATGGGACCCATATTAGACATAATGCTGTGTGGCAACCATCGCCCTTTAAAAATCTGGAATTACAGGTTAACAAATTGTTAACCTGTTTTTTTTTTATTACTACACAGAACTAAATTTTACAAGGCCGTTGTCTGGACCATCACAACCCATTAGGCCAAATAGAAGAAAAGAATTCATGTTACCTGGGACGTCACATCACCAACCAAGATCCATAGATAGGTAGCGTCAATTGATCATTTTTTTCAATAGTGGAAAAATAAATATCTTATATTTTTAAAAATATTACTAATGTTGAATGTGTTTTCAAGTAAGCTTCATAGCATCCAAATGTTTGTGAAGTCCTTCTGTGGAAAGATATTCATAGCATAGACCAGCCAAAATTTTACAAATAGACCGATTGTTGGTTCAAGTGTCTATAATAAGTAATGTACAACTTAAATCGTCTGTGTAGTCATGGGTAAGAGGTGATAACCTGCGATCGAAACACAGACATGTTGGGTTATGTCTAATTGTCAGTAAACTTACTAACTATGGCGACTGTCATTGACCACGTTGATATACTAGTAGTCGCTAAAATAGTTTTGGAAAATGGTGGATTTTTTTTTCAAGCAATGATAACAGTTAATCAGTTTGGAAACACAGTTTTGGCCGAGGGCGATTGCATAATTCTGGGTTCCACCACAGTTGCGCTGTAGAGCTAACACTTGTACAAGAGAAGAGTTGAATGGTCATGGGACCCCTGGGTCTAGGTAATACTGTAATCGCATTGCAGTACACAATTTGTGTACTTAAAATTATTCCTCACAAGCATTGAACAGAATTGTTAACAGTGCTACATATAGCAGTTGCCAATGGGCATTGACGCACAAGTTGAAGTAGGGGTGTGTCATCAATTTGGCAATATATAATTATGGTCGTGTCTGGGCTTGCTTGGTATTAAAATAAAATACAAATAATTACCCTATCATACTCCAGTTATCGAATTTATAATTTACAGAAACCAAGATCAACTACAAACCTAATTCACTAATAAGTATAACTTGTATAACTCAAACGTTATTGGTTCACTTCCCGACCCCAGCTGTCAGTAACTTTTGGGGAATCTGTCTCTGTGTTGTGACTGTCATCAATGATGAACCATCAGAATAAAAATTTGTCTAAGTTGGTGTTCCACTGAGTGGACTGGATCATAAATTCTCAATTACTGTAAAATCTGTATTTGAAGCCGCGGCTTCTATTAAAAAGGTACAATTCAACAGAGGGGATGCGGCTTCTATTAGAGCATATACACATATGAGAAATGATGAATTTTTGGTTCCCAATTGTTAAAAAAAAATGGGTGCGACTTCTATTGGAGATGCGGCTTCTAATAGAGATTTTACGGTACCGATAGTATCTGCCAATAACGGTTTGTTGGCAAATTTAGGTTTCAGCACACATAAATAGCATTGTAGCTCATTTGACAAAAATCATCTTCTGTGTTACTGACATTATCAGAATAGTACAAAAACTCTACCTTAAACATTCTGCCGTTTTACACATAACTAGAAATTTGAGAGCCCACTGAGGTAAGTTGCGATGCAAGTTTTGCTACAAGAGGCTAAAATGTGTATGTGAAAACAACCCTTTGATGTTACTCATATCAGTGAACAATGTTTTGAATATTGTTTAAAGGAGTCGTGGAAATGATAGTAATATTGATTTAATTTTATTTTGAAAATACATGTACCTCTAAGCAAATATTTGCATGACACGTGTGGAATTAAATATTTCATCCACATTTGAACATTACTTTGTCAGCTACAGTAGTTAGTCTGATAACTACTGTTCATTATTTGACTCATTTTACATATATAACTACTGTCAAATATTTCTATTACTTCAGTGCTGAAATTGATAGAAAATTGCAAGAAATAATGAAACAGACTGGGAAACTTACAATAAATGGAATGGTAAGTCAAACTTTTAAAATATTGTCTTTTACATGATTCTGTTAAATTTTGACCATTTTTCGTGATTTTATTCTCAAAAACTTTTCCTATGTCCCCATGTTTTTTTTCTAATTTTTTTAGTATCCTGATTGACATTGACCCATAATAATGAAGGCATGAATAATGATATGAATTTTGGTGCTCTTTAAGTTACCTCAATGTTTCTAATAAGAGGCGGTTAACATAAAATAAAATAAAAAGAAACCAGAATTGTATTTTATGGTATTTCAGACGTTTTTTAGGGGAGTAATCCTGCGTGCTACTCGCCCATGTATTCACCCAGGGGAGCTAAAAAAAACATACACATGCAAAATTATTTCAATGAAAATTAGTACTTTCAGATAAGCTATTTTTCACTTCCTAGCCATTTTCAAAAGGGAAGGCCTGGGTATCTTGTATGTTACCATCCATGCATTTATCAATGATTTGAAATAATCCCCATCTGTATCTGAAAACAGAATGTATAACTATTTCACTCATTTTTCATTCCGCCTTCATTTGTATGATACAAATCATTTTTAAATCTGATGATTCTGGCGTACAATAGCATAGTTAATCATCACAATCTGATTTAATTTTTATTATATTTTATTATATAAAGGGAAAGATGCATGCATGTTAATATGTTAGCAGGTGGGTGTGAATCATCAGATAATGGTTACATGATTTGTATGAGACATTGAACATTTACCAGCAGGGAGGGAAAGGCAGGGAGTAAGTCAGCTGTTGTGCCTCCCATAGTGTATTCAGGGGTTTTTGTTAAAGGGCAGCTTAGTGTTTTTAGTACTCTCATTCTGTTGAAAAGTTTCACATTTGGCATTTTAGTTTTTTAAACCTAGCCAGTTTTCCTATATTTTTTTATAGTCAGAGTTATTGGATATAATGAAAAAATATACAATGAAACACTTGTATGCATTTCTTAAAACAGATTTTTTAAATAACCAAGTCATAGAATGCACAGAAATACTTAAATAAAAAAAAAAAATGTAATGGTGCAACTGTCATTTCCTCAAACCCCAAAAATAAAACCAAATTTTAATCTGAGGCTAATCTCAGCATCATAAAAAATTCTGGTAACGTGAACGTTTGTTTCTATTTTTATAAGCACATCTCTAATAGGAAGGCATATACCATACATACAACAACAACAACGTATACTGAATCATTAAAATACATATTTTGGCCATAGAAACACATCAGTGTATGCAATATGCAATCAAATATCATATGATATACATGTATGATTTATGAAAACACTAACATTTAATTTTCAATTCAGTCAGAGCCTCATTAAAATATTTATTTGCCATTTATTACTTTTGTTGTTTGTCAATATTGTTTTTCTTTCTCGAGAATGTTGTGGATGCAAATCCAGTTTAATAAATTGTTGTTTTTATATTACAGAAATATTCTGTTAGTGCAAATGATTTACATGATTTAGGTGAAATTGGCACTGGTACTTGTGGACATGTGGTCAAAATGAAACACACTGAAACGAACTATGTTATAGCTGTTAAGGTAAGCAGTGATTTACATGATTTAGGTGAAATGGCACAGTTAAATCATGGTTACATGCTAGTAACGTCATATTCATTTGAGTGGTTGTACATGCAAATGTACATGACCACAATTTAGGTAATTTGTATGGTAGTCTGGGAAGGTTTGACCATTCAAATCGTTGTTGTTAATCAATGAAAATAAACTTGAATACGCCGTTTGGTACAATTATAGCTCCACTTCATTTACGAATTCATGAATTCATTCAAGAATACCAAGCAAAATGAACAAGCGATTAACACACAAAAATGTGCGATAACAAATGTCTGTGAACTCTTGTGCGGCCACTTGTTTCCACCTCACAAGGCTATTAACATTTTTCATGCAAGGTTACATTCTTCTAATAAAGTATTTCTTAATAATTTCTCTTTTACTACATTACTACATTCTATCATCTTGCACTCTGATGATAAACTTAAAAATGTATTTTCTCCCCAGCAAATGAGACGGTCTGGAAATAAAGAAGAAAACAAGAGAATATTAATGGATTTAGATGTAGTTCTAAAAAGTCATGATTCACCATTTATAGTACAATGTCTAGGAGCTATAATTACACCTGTAAGTACATATTTCAGTATCAGCTTCTCAAGGTCTGCATTTGTATGGTTTCTATGTAAACCATTTATTTTCACTGACATTTAATTTCACTGTTTTGATGTTTTGAGAATATTCACTGTGTTTTTAATTTCACGAATTTGTCAAGAAAACATTGAGTTTGATTGTTATTTTACATGTTCACATAGATTCAATTTAGTGGGTTTTACTTATCACTGAAAATAGCAAAATTGAAATCCAGTGATTAATTAATGCATTACAGTAGTAAATACAAGAATATGCAGCAAAGAAAGCGAGAATGTCATGTGGCTTCACATGTAACAAACTGAATGAAGGAAATATTGAGTTTGATTGTTATTTTACATGTTAACATAGATTTAATTTCACGGGTTTGACTTATCAGCGAAAATAGCGCAATAAAATCCAGTGAAAAATTAATGCATTACAGTAGTAAATACAAGAATATGCAGCAAAGAAAGCGAGAATGTCATGTGGCTTCACATGTAACAAATTGAATGTCTCCTAATCGAGGGTATTTGCATTAACAGTAACCGTATTTTTTCTGTCTTCTCAGAGTGATGTGTGGATATGTATGGAACTAATGGCAACTTGTGTAGAGAAACTGATGAGGAGGTTGAGTGGTCCTGTACCGGAAAGAATATTAGGAAAAATGACAGTTGCTGTAAGCTTATAATGTTGTTGACAGAGTACAGTCACTTATTACTGTAAACAAGGTTGTTTCATTTTTAGGAGTCTACAAGTCTTAAAAAGAACTTGAAATGCTTTCTCTAGATCGCACTTATTTATTATTAGCCCTTTTCACATTACCGGCGGTCACCATTTTTTTCCATTCATTTCCGGGGCTTTCAGCAGGTGATGTTAAATACCAAAGTCAATTTTCGTCTTTTTTCACAAATTAAATCTGCATAGTTTTATTTAGGATTTAAAAAAAAAATACAGTTACCCTGCTTGTCTACTGTTATTGCAATTTAATTTTATGTTTTGCAGATTGTGAAAGCACTTCATTATTTAAAAGAAACACATGGTGTAATACATAGAGGTAAGAGCAAGTTTTGTTTGTTTGTTTGTTTGTTATTATTGTTACCATATTTACTCTTAGACTATTACAAAATAAATGTTGTTGCATTTATGTAATAGACTATTTATTGTTCTCTGTGAGATTCTGCGTAATGCATGAAATCGATTGTAAAAACAGAACAAAGGTCATAGTGTCGTACTGGCGACAAACATTGCGTGGGATTCAACAAACGCAAACATATTTTGGGGGATATTTCCATGCTTAATAATATGCTGCACACATTTGATGATGGTCAATTTTGATGAAAGAAGAGTATTCAAACGCAATATTCCCCTGTCAAAGATCGGCCTTTCATTGTGAGCTACGAAATATCTAATCGTTTAATTTTTTGCGGCAGACATTCAGTGTGCGTCTTTCACACAACTCGTGAGATCTCGCAGTTGAACAGAAAATCACTTACATAGATGTGTATGGTTGTAAATAAGTCGTATTAAATTAAGTCATGATTCAATTGACAATAAATGCAATATTTTCATGACCCCAGCTATAGGTAAACACATTAGCTATACATTTACATAACAGTGAGTGATGGACTAAAAATGAAGGATTTAATTTTCATACTGATTTGTTGACCATCCAGCTTCATTATATTATATGTAATCTATGTAGTGATCGTTAAACGATTGAGGTAATATGACATCAATATTGACACTCCAGTTTCAAGATGTGACTGATGAATGGTGATCAGAGAAATTTTGAATTGATTTGGCTCTATGTTCCATGTATTTTTTAAAGCATCTATGTTAAATTACAATTTCAAAAATGGAATCGTAACAGTGGTATCGTAGACATTTATGCACAAACATGCTTCATTTAACAACACTGCCTCCAGTATTGAGGGGCTGTGATACATGCATAACATACGCTAGTAGACTCTCCACTTATAACACAAGAGTCTCTGTTTGACATTGGAAATTGTAATTGTTAGGCAAATCAATTAGCGATAACTTACAACTAATTGATTATCACTAATCAAATAATCGTACACTTTCCATAGGCAGAAAGTATTGCAAGCAGAATTATACTTGAACGCATATATATCCTGTAAATACATACTGTCACAACGGTGTGCCCCATGTTTAGAGAACTGATTGTACCATAGAAGCTGTTTAACATAACAAAGAGACTTGAAAAAAATTAGTTGTCCATCTTATTCAAGTGAACATCCACTTTCGGTGAAAGTTTTGCCACTTTCTAAAAGATAGTCTACCAATTGTTCAAAATATAACAGTCTTTGTAGTTCAGCCTTCCAGATTGCGACTATTTTGGTGCCATGGCGATTAAATTAAATGAATGGCGATTCAAAAAAATATGTAGGTCGCCAATTGGCGAACTAAGAATAATCTGGCCGGCAACTAAACTTTCCGTAATATAAAACAGACTGTACAGCTTGTCAGCTCTTGGTGGCGCAGTTTTTCCCACAATTTAACACTGCAGTGTTAGTAACTCCGTAAAAAGTCTAAAATTTCGACAGGTTTTAAATAATTTGTGTTGAAAATCTTACATGTTTTTAGAGTACAAAATTAAGGTGCATTTTCGAACGTTCAAATTTTTCAGAATAGAAATCAGCAAATCAAAAAAAATGGGGATGATAGACAGTGTGCTTCGTTAGTTTCTAAAAAAATGGAATGTCCGTCAAATTGATGTAAACTTCCCCTTGTTTCACGGTAAAAGCAAAGATCGTGGCCGAATTGTAGGCTAAACAACTCAAAATCAAGACGCGGAGAAGAGGTCAGCACAAAACTAATAGGTCAAAAGAGTTGTTAATGTATCAAGTTACCTCTCTCTGTGATTTTTCATGGAAATTATTTGCTTGTTTTCAATTAATTTTAACAGTTGTTTGCTTCATTGAATTAAACTGAGTTCGTCCGGTTACGAACAAAGCTGTCTCGCACCACCTAGGAAAACTTGTGAATGTTCGAAGTACAGGTACAAAAGATACTGTAAAATGACTAATTTTCACTGGGTTTAAATTTCACTGATTTACCATTTCAGGCCTATTCAGTGGGTTTTAAATTCACGGTTTCGTCATTTAGATAATGTGTTCTATGCTAAATTTTACATATTCACTGGGTTTTAATTTAGCGCATTTTCCAGTCAGCGAAATAAGCTAAACTAAAACCCAGTGAATAATTATCCCCTTTACTACAGTACATGGAAGTTTAGCAACTGGGACAGTTTGTATCTCCCTGACCCAGTGCAATATATCCGGTTATAATCAAAGCTCATGTGTCTTTATTTGAGGGACGAGATTCTGCCGTAAATTTGCCCTGGGCCGTTAAACGGCAGTTTGGATTAGAAAAAATAAAATGAGATTTAAAAGAAATAAAATGGGACTTTCAAGGTGGCATCATTATTCGGAAATTTCATTCATTCCTGACACCTAAAATTGAGTAAGTTTTACCATAGTTATTGACGCCTATTCAAGAGTATGATGTTTATTGTGTCTACTAGACTAGCGTGGGTAAGCGAAATGATAAGCTTCATTTCGACAATGAGCAGTTATCACTGTAATCAATGTTAAACTATTCTTCAAATGCTCAGTTTATTTTTTGAAAACAATTATTTTTTTGATTTAAAAAAAAATATGCTGTTTTCTCATCAAAATCCAAGCCAAAAGATCGGACTACAACATCAGCAAGTCTTTTCCATGTTACATTCAATAACATTTAACATATTTAAATGAGCAATGGTAATTTGATATCTCTGTGATACTATATGATTTAGTGTCATATGCTTGAATAAATACTTAAATTTAAACATAATTATTGTTTCTGTGTAGTCTGTAAAACATAATAAATTCTGGCGACCTACAATTTTGTACTTGGCTACTAAATTTTCCAGCTGGCCACCAAAAGTTTGAACTTGTTGGCCAATGGCCACTAGGAAAAAAATTAAACTTGGAGGGCTGTAGTTCAGATACCAGTACTTTGTATGTTTATAAGATATGGTCAAAATGTATATTGTATACATTGCCAAAGGTGTAGGCTAAATAACAAGCAGGAAAAGTCTAAATTACAATTAAACTTACTCATTTTTCTCTTAAGGTACTGGTAACATTATTAAGTTTATGCTACAAATTAAAATTAATGGATTATATCTCGTATTTTTCTGTGACTACAAATTTTCTATTTCTATTGCAGATGTTAAGCCGTCCAATATACTACTAGATGAAAAAGGAACTGTGAAACTATGTGATTTTGGTATCAGTGGTAGACTAGTAGACTCAAAAGCTAAAACACGCAGTGCTGGTTGTGCAGCATATATGGCAGTAAGTTCAGCTTGTCTGTAGTTTTCCAAATCCCTCGCAGGTACTCCTTTTGAGATGGTTTATATCCTGTCTTTTCTTAATTCTCACACATGTTAGTTCTACTTCCACTTGTTTTTGGAGTAATTCATACAATCTGTTTTTCGGCAGCCTGAGAGAATAGACCCCCCAGATCCAGCCAAACCAGATTATGATATTAGAGCAGATGTGTGGAGTTTAGGAGTATCACTAGTAAGTAACCTATTAAACAAATTCTAATGATAGTCCCTGTGTAAAAATAAAGATTTGTGCATTTCATTTTATGTCCATTCAGACTCATTTCTCTGATATACTTTGACTGATTTTGTTTATTCTGCATAGCTTCCATGTACATATCCACTTTATACTAATTCAGCAGAATCTAAATGCAGCAAATAACGTAATTCTGGAACCTGATCTTTAAATAAAACTTGCTATGTGCATGCATACAAAAGGGTCTTTCATGGGCAAAATTTCTATAAATGCCATAGACCATTTTGAATTGCATTAAGGTAGGGCATTGAAGAGCAATCGCTTCTATAACCTCTGAATATGTGATTTTCCGTTCAACTGCGAGGTCTCGCGAGTTGCATGAAAGATGTGAGCCAAACGGCTGCCGCAAAAATCGAAGGATTTGAACTCGAATTTCGTAGCTCACATCGAAAGACCTATCTTTGACAGGAGAATATTGTGTTTAAATACCCATATTTTATCGAATTTGAACATCAAATGTGTACAGCATGGAAATATCCCCCAGGTACTTTTGCGCTTGTCGAATCCCACCCGATGTTTGTCGCCACTACGACGCTATGACCTTTGTTTGTCCTGTTTTTACGTTAGATTTCACGCATAACGTGGAATCTCGCAGAGAACGGAAAATATTATATTTCAAGCCCTAGTGCAACATGAAACCTTGATGCATTTCTCTTTATTCTACATACATACGTTTCAAAATGGACTGTTAATAGTGCTTGGAATGATGCGTGTTCAACTTGTACCAGTATGTTTACTTGTAGCTTTGTCATTTGTCTAACGTAGGTTGAAATGGCAACGGGGGAATTTCCATACACAAATTGTAAGACAGATTTTGAAGTATTAACAAAAGTCCTTCAAGAAGATCCACCAAGACTACCGAGTACTGGTTTCTCGATGGATTTTAATGCTTTTGTTTCTTGGTGGTAAGTAAATGTGAATTCCTAGATTCGGCTTTAATACACTGCTGCTGATGCCAATTTATATCATTTAAATCTGTTTCCCATGGAGGCTCCAGCTGGGGTGGTGCATTGAATGTCAGCATGCTGTGTGGCTTGTGTTTAACACATTTGATTTGAATAATTCAGTGTAGATGCTCTAATAGAAGCCGCATCCCTTCTGTTGCAATGTACCATTTTAACAGAAGCCGCAT